GATCCAACACTAAATGAATGGTGAGGCGTCCTCTTTAGGAATCCTAGTCCAGTGGCTTAAAGCCACATACGCTACAATTCTTACACGTCTTCTTGATGGACAGGGTGTCGACTGACCCAGTACTGATGTGTGTCACTATTGCTGTGTTTTTATTGGCTTGTCAAGTTGCTGCAAAATCGGTAGTTTTGTTTCAACTTGAGTGACTCCTAGTACAATACAATGGCAAAAAGTTTGACCAGTTTACACTTAAGGCATTTTAAAACTGAAATTCCACTTTTTCTTTATTTTTTCCCTTTTTTGCTCTGAAGTGAAACAGAACCTGTATTTCTCAAGTCCTCTTGCCTTGGAAAGTAATTGCAGATGTTTTTTAATGTGACTCTCCTCTTCTCCATTTCCCTTTAATAAGGGGAGCAATGAATCAAGAAGAACGAAGGAGATGGAAGAAGAAGACCTCTATTACTGCTGTGGAGGTGAAGTTCGATTCGGTTGGGTTGAGATGTCAAAAGCGCATTTATTTGGGATACAGGGATTTGTGGTTGAAATTGTGCGGTAGAACAGCGGAAGCTTGAAGAGGGAGGGAGGGATGAAGGGCAATGGCGAGATCGCAGAGGTGGTAGAGAGGAAGGAGTTGCCTTGATCTTCACCATCTCTTCATTTCGTCTTTTTTTTCTCTGGCACTTTTAATTAAACCAAATCTTGTGATGCAGTTAACACAATATCTTCCACCTTCTCTCTGTTATGTTTAGACCTCAATCAGACACTTTAACCTTTAACGCATATTTGACAAGGTGTCTAGTGTCGTCGTGACTGCGGGACCACTTTCGCCGTCATTTTAAAGCCTTTCTTGTGGGAAAGTCCGACGTTGAAAGAAGGGCTGTGAAGCACCTTCTCTTTTAAATTCAGACGAAACTGGAAAATTTTTGACTGCGCTTATTGACATCCCCAGTGCCCACGCTAAATAAAATCGACAACTGAGTCTCCAGTTTTTCCTCGCCAAATGCACAAGCAGAAAACATGCCTTTTTGGTCTTTTTAACATATCTACATTTACCAGGGAATAAGGAAGGCGGTTATTTGACGAATTACTGGTGATAACTTTCTTCACCCTCTCTCTACCAGTTAGGAAGAGGTGGAGGTGGAGGTGGAGGGAATAGACCAGGTTGGTTAAATTATTTGCCCGAATTTGCAGCCCATCATACACACGCGCACACATTCATACCTTCTGGAACCCCTATGTGACTTCGATCATTGATTTTCGCCTCGAAGATGTTGAACTTGCCTTGGATTCATTCCTAAAATAATGTTAGTCTTTGAGGCATTTGAAATATTGTTATGAAGTTGGCAGATTTTCATCTAATCTGGGTTTGTCCAATTTTTTCTCTCCAGACGCTAAAAGCAGGGGCAACCTTTTTGTACTCCTTCCTTTTTCCTCTTAGGTTCTAACACCTTGGAAAAAGGGGCACCGAAATGCTTGTTGCCCTTATCCACATTTTCTTTTGTGGTAATAACTTCTCATTTGGCTCCCCAAAATTGGCTCAAAGTGGAGCAAAACGAAGCCTCTGCGGTGTTGTCCTTGATGCAATTCGAGAGGCGGGAGATTTCCAACACTTCTTCTTCTCGCCTTCCTTTTCAACATCCTGTTTTTTTCCTCGTCTTTTCGTAGTTGGAAAATTCGCTTCCCTCACCTCTCCATCTCTTCATCGACATCGTCTGCAAAATGACCTCCTTTCTGCATGACCTTCAATAGGAAACTTCGGCCTTTTTTCTCCCCTCCTTCCGCCTGGCGAAATGAGTTAATTTTTAATAGTAAATTTCGTCCATAATTTAATCTTCTTCCCGCCCTCTGTTTTTTACGGCCTGTTTAATCCACCTGTGGAGCGAGTCCTTCCCATTCACCAGTATTTATGTCTATGCACTTCCACTTCCCCTCTCTTTTTTCCTGGGGAATGGAGGTGAAGGAAAGGGAAATACAGAAAACAGGCATTTGGTTGATCTGGAAATCTCTGACATTTCTTCGCCTTTTCGATATCCAATAACAACAATTTTCGTTCCCCTTTTTAAAAAAAAATTATTGGAAGACCTTTTAAGTTTTTTGAACTCCCAAATTACCACAAGGTGAAGAAGTAGTTTTTTTGTCCACTGCGAGTCTCC